TTGCAAATTGACATCGAAACAGCACAGTGGTGGAATTGAAGCAGTTATTAATAACTAGTCGTCGTGAATCCACTGTCAATGGCGAATGATTCCAGACCGCAGCGATGAATCGCTTGTCGCGATGAGTCCCAATCCAACACCAACACGCCCCGTTTTTGCAATAGACTGTTCCTCACATTCCTTTACATTTCTCCAGCCCCACCGTATTTCCTGTGTAACAGCCCATCGAATGAAATTTGTTTTCCAGTATGTGCAGTCATTAGTAGTATGACGATCAAAATGCCTCGCCTCCAGCTCAGCTTTTCTATTGTACTGTTTTTTCAAGCTCTCTTCTTGCTTTCTTGTCCTTCTGCTCGCATCATTTACCAGCCCGTCCTTCGGAATCAATCAGTCGACACCAAGCTGCTTTGGGAGACAAACAGAAAATCTGCATTCTAACCCTTCCCAGAATCTCACACAGAAACACTCGGGGCGTATCTCACAACAGGGCTTATGAGCTTAAAGACACAGTTCACAATAAAAATGGTATCTGTGATTTCATCATATGATGAATTTGAGGCACATCTTATACCATATCCGGCGCTATCATGTCGGAAAACGGCCTAGTTATGGTGTTATAAAGGCTCAAAGATTGTCTCGTGTGTATCCTCGGACGAGTTTCACCTGCATTGAAAAGGCTACACAGATCACAGCGGAACCCGTGTAGAAAGTTCAAACAAATTCTCATGATCCTTAGTGGCAGTAAAAGGCAGAGTTCTGGCACAGTTTTGGCTTGGTGTAGTCAGTTCATTGCGCAATTGCAACAACTGAAATCTCGTCCGAACATCTCTTCCATTTTATTGCCGTCATGGATATCTCGTTCAACCTCTATTTTCCGTACTTTGAGGAGCCTTGTTTTTCTCAAAATCGGCGAACTTTCTCACTTTCTCCTATTTCCAACCTATACATATATCCGCAGGGGTACCTCAAAATTATCGTGAACTGTGCCTTTAAAAATTCCTCCCCGTATCCTTCATGAGACTCGACAGTTGAATGTGAATGGAAGTGAACATATCAACAAAAAGGGTTTTAGTATGTGTATAAACTTTGGGCTGGACGCTTGGAATTGTTGAAGTAAAACGTATATGTATATATTCGGCCCCTCTTCGATGGAGGATGCCCGAAACATGCCTAGAAAATGCCCGAATTAGAAAGGTACCTTTCATCTTGAACCACATGGCATTGATGTCATAGGTGCTTTCTAATATTATTGAGTAGCAAGGTTAGTAGGGGCGAGTGGAGGATCCTTCCGCTCCTTACCTGCAATCTGAGGGTGATACCACTGGAGACCCTCAACGACCAGCATCTGACCGGCTACATTTACAGTCATTTTGCAAAAGTAGCCTGAGTAAGCTAACGGAAAAAGCTAAACTGCAGCGGTGTCACTGAGAATGACCGATACAACATCCCTTCACTCGGAATGATTTCTTCAGAATAAAAGCCGTATCGGGAAGGCTCACCGGTTAGGAGTAAGTGGTAACGTGTATGATGCCGAAAAAGGGCTAATGGAGGAAAAGCGGGGTAGATATTTATAAAAAAGGGAGATAAAGTGATCACCAACTTGACTCATACTGAAGCCTCTTTCGCTCATTGCCTACCCTACCTCCTCATTCGAGGCCTGGTTCTGTCATTTGTGCCAAAATAACTTCCAGGAACTGGCTTGATGTCCCATCAACTTTCAAAAACTACCATTCACACTAGGTTAAAGGAACCCGGTTATCGGTGGTTGCTGTTTTCCTTTCAACTTCATTTACATATAATTGCAGCTCTTCTTGACAAAGGTCCCGAAACTTGGCTAACCTGCCCCAAATGTACAGTTTTACTGAGATCCCTGTCGTGTGGACGAGGCTCTAAATCGGGCCCATGACCAGTTCAGCTAGTGCTTCAGCAAATAACTAAGAAAGTGAGCAAATAATAGAAACTTGTATGGAGACGTAACATGCGCATGGCTGACCCCATTCGCCTGTCCCTCATATAAAACTCCGTCAAGGATGCATCCTCAGTGATACATGCGTGTTTGTTTAGGAGCGGTCTGGCTGGCCATTCTGTGCCAATATGTCGATTCGATGAAAAGTCACTCGATGGACAGTGGCTCGGTAAGTGCTTCAGTATCATCAGTAACAAATTTCATTTACTTTCTCGTCTTAGTTGCTTTGCAACGTCTGAATTGCTTAAATTGCTGGATTTCTGGCGAATCAGACTGTCAATCTGATATATTTTTATGTTCTCTCACTAAATTGAGACACCAGTCATGCTTGAGACCAATGCTGATTTCTCCGGCAACTACTGGTTGCTTTTCCTTCCCCAACAAAACGAGTCCATTCTGCTGGGTGCTTTAGAAGATGTGCTCATATGTCTTACAGTAACATGCACAACCTGACTTTTGATCATCGACTTGTCAGAGAGTACTGCTAGGTTTTTTACCCTGCACCGCGCAAGAGTAGCGATAGATCCCAGTGCCGAAAGGAGATCGTTCAGTCATGGCTTTGAGTTGTTTGCCTAATGGGTCAGAAGTTGCTCGGAAGGTCATTCAAATTCCCAAAAGAATTGGTGCCTTGCAACCCCTCTCGGAAAAATCAATCTCGATTCGGGCTCTTCGTACAGTACGTCGTTCGACCCTTCAGTAATAGTTAAGCCTTTTTATGGGATACTTTGCCTTAAAGTTCAACTCCCAAGTTAAAAACCTTCCCTCAAAATTGAGCAGGTTTCCGTACGTAAAAGTCTTCCAAGTCCTTAATGTTCAGAAAGCTCCTGAGCGAAAAAATTTACATTCAAGGTTCAAGCTAAGGGTTACAGCGAGCACACGAGTGCCTCAGATAGATAAGAGCTTGAATATGTCGCTGGAACACTCAGGAGTTATTTCAAAAATATTTACAAATACTTCTCTGCTACACTCCTCTTTTGTTATTTTATCCAAATCTTTATCATTCAGACAGCCTTGATGATTCCCTATCCCACACCGCCTCCTCCACATATTCCAGAGGAACACCCGTCTACAGGTTTGGTTATTCGAGCTAAACGGCAATTTGGTGGATTTGGTTGCTGTCCAATAATGCCTCCTATGTGCTGCCCAATGCCAATGGTGAGTCTTTTCTGATTTTAGCAGGTAACCTTCAATTTCAAACACTAAGCCTTGCAGCTGTGGCATACAATCTCGGTTTTAAGTAGTTCGTGGTAAAAATTGCCTGAAATTGATGCTATTTCACAGTTGAGAAACTTCAGTTTGAGAGCCTTATAGAAATGACAGAATTTCGGCTTTCTATCAGGGACCGTATACTCCAAAAGTTAGAAAATCAGAAGTGCCATGCATTTCTATACCATTCGGTGTCGTAGTGGTAGCCTTAATCCGTTCGAGAAGAAAAATGGAATTCCGATCCCAGCGGAACTGTAAGTTATACGAGGAACCAGCATAGAGGCAAGTGGAGTCTCTCCAACATTCGCTAGCCCATGATCAAATCCTATGTCACATTCAGTTCGAGCCATTTGGAAGGCAAAACGCTCCATAAAAGCCTCCCAGCGATTCCGAAGACGAATCGAATGTAGGGCGTATCTTGAAACGAAACGCCATAAAAGTTTGACTTTCAACAGTAGCTCACAGTTACGAGCTGGCTCTTCTCCCATGGGTCTCCGTCAATATTCATGGAAAATTTTCAACAGGCTCGGAATAACTTTCCCGATACCGTAGAAAGCTTCCTCATTTCTCATTTTCTTGAACGTTCTACATCAGCACTGAATAAGCTATCCGTCTGAGCGTGTACTTTCTGGGCTTGCCACCCACATTCCTCATGGACGCTCTCATGAACAAATCACAAACATAAATCTAAACCGGTTAGAGGTTGTACTTAGAAAAAACACTTTATCTATCATGTATTCCATCATTTTACCATTGACACTTATCGGATCATTTGAGAGGGAACCAATTCCTCCCTCACAATTGTCATTCCAATCAAAACCAACGTCAGGGGTAAAACGAATTTGAGGATTCTCGAATTATTTGTGTGACCCTCAAGAATGGCATCTCAGAAACGAAAAATCGATAAATACCATAACTCCTACCGTAGTTCCATTCTTGACTCTTCACTATGACATCTATCACTTTTCGTAAATAGCCTTCATGTATAATTCGGAACGTTGCTGGCCTTTACTGAGCTTTCGCACTTGTTATTATACCAGGCATGTTTGTGTAGGTCTCAAGAGAATCACAGACTCAGAAGGAATAAGCTAACTCCGTTTAGACTTTTTGTGAGCCATGCTTTTGGCTTCTTTTGAGTATTGCAGAATCTTTAAAATGAACGCTTTAAATAACCAAAGGACACACATTCAAAAGCTTTCAAGTCGGGTCTTTCGCTAAATAACCATAAACAGCAGTTCAGTCATTCGCTTTCTGCTGAGATCTTCCATATTTGAGCTTATCAATTTTAATAATGAATAATTCTTGCAGATGATGATTCCTCCGCCTATACCACCACCGATCTTCATGCCGTCTTGCTGTTCTTGCTGCCTACCAGTCTGTATGCCTATCTGTATAACAGGGTCTGTAATTTTCCAAGATTTTGGGAAAACTAGAGCGCAAATCCTCTTACAGTGAACTGCGTATTTCTTTCACCTCTAATACATCCAGTACCAATAGAACGACCTTGAACGATCGTAAGGGCCTATTCGGTTCCTTCAAAAGGACTTTTTTTT